TCATGTCTCCCTAGGTGCCTCTTGGCCTGACAGTCTAATAGATTTTCCTTGTTTCCCATGACTGTGGCGGTTTTGAGGAGTGCTGGTCAGGCATTTCTTGGGGTACCCTCTCTTGGAATGTGTCTGATGTTTTTATCACGGTTAGACCAGGCATGTGGGTTTGGGACAGGAAGAGCACGCAGGTGAGATGCTCTGCTTGTCACAATGCACCAAAGTCATGTACCATTACCAGACTTATCCCTTTTGATGGTGGCCTTGATCGACGGCCAAGGTCGTCTTTGCCAGATCTCTCTGCTGGAAAGTTACTCGTTTGCCCCTTTCCATAGGTGCCTTTGGAAGGTAGCTGCTGTGGGTGGCCCACAGTTAGTAAGTGGGGATTAATGTCCCCTCCCTCCCTGAGAACAGAGTATCTGCCTTATTTGGAACTCATCTGTACGGGACGGTTGCTAATTCTTTGCCACTCATTCATTCAGTCCTTTGCATCAGTGTGGACTTGTGGATATGGCTGGTATGCTTGGGTTATAATCCAACATTGCTTTATCTTCTTGCTCAAATTGTCTCAGCTTTGGCCATTGGGAGCTCCTGTGTCCTTTTCACACACCCCTATTATTGTGTATATTGTTTTGTTTTTTGAGCACTTTGTTGCTTTTTGGCATTTTAAGATGTACCAGGCTCACCTTGTGTATTTTAAGTATCTGTGTTCACAAATGATGTCTATTAGAATTACTTATAGTTTTATCACTTAGGGCCTAGAACAAACAGCTCACCTTGAAGGGATGGAAATCAATGTTAAATAAAAAGTCCCCAGAGTACCTGCTTTCTGTCCTGTAACCCTTACCTTTGTAGGAGCCAGAAACTAGGGCTGGTAACTTCAGCATCTCCTGTTGCTCCCTTTTGTGCTCAACCACCATCTTTCTTGCCAAAGTGACTATTTTACAAATGTTTGCCTTCATCTCCATCCAGTGCTCAACTCCAACCCCAGTGCCTACCAGGGCTGTAGCAAAGCCTTCTCTGCACGGCCTTGCAGGCTGGACAGCTGTGGCCTCCATCCTCAACATACAGGCCACTTCTTCCTCCCTAGGCGCTCTCATGGGGCCCTGCGATACCCCGCGACCTTCTCCAGCTAGCCCTGCATCTGCAGTGTGGACACTCCTTCAGGCCAGGGACCATCTGTCTTAGTCGCCTCTCTCCGCTCACGGGGCTGGCTCGGGACCCCAAGTCAGGGGCAGTCTGGTGTCTAGTGAGCTATCACGCGCCCGAGCTCACGAGCCTGTTGTGTCCCTGTCGAACAGCAGAGGGTACTGCGAGCACGTGAGGAGAAGGCTTAGGCAGGCTTGCTTCTGTTTGGGGATCGCACTGAGTTACTGCACTGTACTTGACACATCCGTTTGAGTTTATTCATGAAGTGTCCTCCTGTTGGGTTTACAGATACTGTAAAAGTTACTAATGACATATCATAGTCAAATAGTCTCTCCATACCAGTCAGTGATCCTCCTACCTCCAAATATGGGGACTGCCAGTCCCAAGGGGACCCCCCCAACACACACACCCAAGGGCGTCCGGTTAGCAGGTCAAAGGCGCCCTCCTCCTGGTGGCGAGCATGAGGTTGCTGTGAGAAGCGGCACCTCCGTTGGCCAGGGCCCCAGCAGCGTGGTGGCATGTCCCCTTGGCCCCTGGGCTGGCTGGAGGCGAGCGGCAGCATCAGGGGGCCCCGGGGGTGAGAAGGTGCCCTATTGACTAAGCCAGGGAGCCCCATTCCAGAGGAGTTGGCTGTTTGCAAGGGTCTCATGCCTTGTACATTTTTCCCAAAAAGCTGCCTGGCAATTGAAGGCCATAAGCCAAAAAGTTGACGTGTTTTTAGAAGACGAAAACCAAAACCTGGTCCCAGCAAACCACCTCCAGGCCTGGGGTCCCTGAGCAGCGTGAGAGCGTGAGCTCCTGCTCCTCGTCTTTGGTCGCCCCTGACCTGCACCTCTGGTAAACAGGAAGGCCTCTGCGCCATCAGTGTCCATCCCTCTGAGAGCATCTGAGAGCTGTCCGGCCATCAAAGGCATCCCCAGCCCCCGGCAGCCTTCTGGGGGGCACTCCAGCCTCGGCAGAAACAATTCCCCATTGTCTTCGCCCCTTGGAGATCGTGGATTTGTAAACAGGCCCTTACGTTTAGACAGCCCTGCCCTGGCTTTGTGCTGGAGGGTTGTTTTTTCTTCCCTTAACAATGTCCTTTCCAGTGGGGCCAGCCGTTCACACCATTGTCTGAGACCCTCGGACCACAGGAAACCACACCGGATCCTTATCAGCTGGGGCTGAACAGATGAAGTCATGTCCATAAAACAAGCTGCTGGTCTGCCACGTCATCCTGTCCTTTATCTGCAAGAGCAGAGCCCCCTTGTCCTCCTGACAGGCCAGTCTGGGCTCCCGGTGTCCCCAGGGCGGTCACCTCCACCTGATGGTGGACATCTGGACTCTGCGCCAGGCCTCTGTTGATTCACTTTGGGGTTCTCACCAGCCCCCCAGTCACTGGCCTCTCTGCACGACAGGTGGTCATGGCATGAAACACGAGCCCTCGGAATGAAATAGGGTACATCCCAGTCATCGTCCTCCTGGGGAAAAGGGGTCACGACTGGCCATCTGAGGCCCCCTCGGCAGAGTCCCTGAGTGCAAACTACAGGCTGGCTCTGGAGACCTGGCGTGGGGACAGGGCGGACAGCCCTTGCAAGGCCTCCCTGGAGACACAGCATTTCCCATCCTCGGGAGAATGGTTTTTAAAAGGCTGTGTCGAGGAACCAGGAGTTTCCTTGATGAAATCCAGTGAGGAAAGTGAGAGGCTTCATTAGGACGCAGTCTCGAAGGGAGGGGGGCCCAGCAGAGGCACCGGGGCAAAGGCTGGGCACTGGGAAGTGGGACAGGGGCCTCACCTGGGCGCCAGGGGCTGGGCAGTCCTGACGAGGGGCTGGGAGGGCCCAGCAGTCCCTGAGCTCCTTGTCAGGTACTGTCCTCTAACCCCCCCACCCATTCACTCTTGTCACCAGGCCCCGGTTTGTTGTCTCAGAACACCATGCGGATCTGCTCGCAGTGCAGGATGGACTTTCTCCTTGCGGAGCCCCTGCACACCAGGCCTTGGGCGAGGCTGGAGCAGACCCTCGGCTTGCACAGGAATGGGGCTGTTCCTGAGCACCTGTCTCCAGGTTCTAAGGAGGAGCTGTAGCCTGCTGGGGAGCCTCAGTCCGCCGGGCTGGCGGGGACATGCGAGTGAGTTCTCTGGGGCCCCCGTCAGCTCCGAGAGGACAGCCTGGCGGGGGGCAGGCCGAACTCCTAAAGGTTGCTGCCTGACCCCCTCCTCCAGTGGGGGATTCTAGGGGTGTCTGAGGCCTGACCTGGGCTTAGCTGAGTGACAGGGAAGCACAGAAGCCATTTGGGAGAGTGACAAGGGCAGGTTTCTGCCCTTATTCTGCTTCTCTGTACCCCCAGCCCTTCCTCAGAAACTAGTCTATTGGGCTGCGGGACAGCCACAGGCTTGGGGTGAATCCTAGCCCTCCACAGAGGACCACCATGCCGGACACGGGGAGCAGGAAGTGGGCTGGGCGGCCAGAAGCGGGGCGGAGTCCAGGCCCAAGGGTCAGCAGGCTGGAGTCTTGGCAGCCCCGCCTGGGTGGCAGGTCCAGGCCTTAGCTGGCCACGGGAGGCTGAGATGTGGCTGTTCCACCTGGGAGGCCGGGGAGTGTACTGGTTTCGAAGGCAGAGATTAATAGATTAAATCCATCCCATGTGCCAAGGGAGGGGATTAATCAGAGTTTCCCCAAAGTATGCTCTTCAAACATTAGAAACATGAGCTGGTAAGTGCTTCGTGGGAAAAAGGGACAGAGGACTAGCTTGAGAGAATGGCGAGGCACACAGTGGGCATGCCGGCTAGTGCTGGTGAGAGCTCGTGGCGGGCCCCTCCGGGGCTGGGGTGGGATCCCGACGTCACGAGGGTCTCCTGGGACACTGCCCCACGGGACACTCATCCCTTCCTCAGAGCCCCTTCCAGAGCTGTGGGAGAGGACAGTGATATCCCCAAGGCAGGAAGCCATGTTCAGATGGGAGGTGGGAGGAGAGTAGCGGGGAGAAGTCCAGGCCCCAGGGGACTCCAGGCATGGGGGCAGAGCCTCTGTGCCCCGCGGGGAGGGGCTGAGGGGGCCTCACCCATCCTCCCAGCCCGGCACACTGGCCTCTCGGGCGCTCTGGCAGTGCTGATGGCCTGCAGCAGGGCCGGAGGATCTGAGGCTGGGTCAGGCCGCGTGTTTGCAGAAGGGCCAAGGGGCAAGAGGGGGGGCCCCCACAGCAGGGCCTGGGCTCCAAGATGGGGCTGGCGCCTGACCGCTCTGTGAAGCCCCCAGTCCGTGGCGTGGATTCAGGGGCCCATCCAAACAAGAGGCCAATCTCTGTGGGAAGTGGGTTGAATCCCTCCCATCTCCCCGCAGCACCAGGGGGGCCTGCCCTTTGGGCCGGAGTGTGAAGTCCCGGGGAGTAGGAGCCATGGCAGGGGTGCCCTCCGCAGCAGGTCCAGTGGGCCCAACTCCCAGGGCCTGGCCCCCTCCCCAGAAGCTGCAGCGCCCCCAGCACAGCACAGCCCCCAGGGAGAGCTCAGTGCCTTAATACATGTTGGTATGTGGCTCGGGAAGGGAGACAGGCACCAGGCCAAGTGTTGCTGTTACAAATGTCAAGCATTATTGTGGAAAAGGCGAGGGCTGCCGACATGCCCAGCTGCCCTTTGCCAGCACTTTTTTTTTCTGGCTCGAGATCCTTCTGAGGTTCCGAGGTCAGTCTCAGAAGCCCGCAGGGCAGGATTTTCCTGACTTAATCTCAGCTTCACAGAGGAAGCCCTCAGACTCTGTCCTCCCTGGTGCCACCTCCCCCCTTCTAGAAGATACCAGGGCGGGTGATTCTCCCTCCTGGAATGGAGGGAAGGCTCACACAGATGGAATTGGCCAACTTAGTACAGAAATACACAGACACGATAATGACAGAATCACAAGTGTAAGTGTTAACTTCACCCCCGTCCTGTGAGTTCTGCGCAGTAGACACTCTGCTCCTCTCACCGGCGCTTGGGGCAGTGTGACAATAAAATAACAACAATAATTACAAGAAGTGTGCTTGTAAAGACAGAGAAACCACATCTCAACATATGAGTAAAACAGAACTCACATACACAGGCATTTCCAGCATTAATAACCCTCAGTACCATGTGGGGGGTGGTTGGCAGAAGCCGGCCATGATTCTCCCAGTGCAGGTGTCCGTTCAGGATTTTGAGCCCCTCCTCTCCTCATTTTCCAGGGTAACTTCCCCAGAGGACGCTGCTCTGGGACGGCCACACCTGGGCCCGGCCTAGGGGCCACCAAGGGCCTGGTCTTCCCTGGCCCGGGGGCAGCGCTGGCCACAGCTCTGACACAGGCCCCGGGCCTTTGCGCTCTCCCCGCTGGCCACGGTCCCCTCCGTCTCTTTCCCGGCGTCTCCCTGTGCCCCACCTCCTCTGCTTTTACCTGCTCACATCTCAGCCACCGCGATGCGGGTCACAGGTTTCCCAAAGGGTTGTCAGGTTCTCTGGGTCAATTATTGTGCAGTCAAGGGGGCAGGGGGCCTACTTCAGATCCCAGTTCCCTGGGATGGGGGCTCGGGTAAAATCCAAGGCAGACGCAGTCTGGGTTTGGGTTCAGTGGGCAAAATGCCCTGTTTTGCTTTTAATTTTTTTTTTTGTTTCCCCTCCTTTCTTCTTCTTGTTTTTTTTGATGAGAGGGAATCTCGACCTGATGCCCTTGTGTCCCTGCTGCCGGCTTGTGCGTCACAGACCTGCCCTTCCACGTGCAGTCTGGGAGGAGCTCTACACTAGTCGTCCTCCTCGTCCCCTGTGCTCCCAGCCCGAGAAACACATTTCTGCTGACGGCAGAAGACAGCTCCTACCCGTGCGGACAGAACGTGTCCCGGCCGCCTGAGCCTCACCCCGAAAACCTGCAGCACTTGGCAGCTTTTTTCCCGACCTGTTTTTCTCTTAAAAGAAAAAAGTCTTCATAAATGAACCGTTCATGACCCATCCTTTAGCAGGAACCAAGGATTCCAGGGTGAGAAACATCTGGCCGGCCCGGTGGCTCCTAAGCTGATGGATACCATCTTGGGTCCTTGAGAAGGCCTGCTCCTGAGCCCCACAGCCACCCCAGGGTCTCCCCGTCTCAAAGCTTCTCCATGCCTGTGGCCCCAGGCAAGGCTCTGCCCCTGGCCCTGCCCACCAGCTGAGGCTTGCTCACGGAGCTGCCACATTCCCACCTGCCAGGCTGGGGGCGTGTTTGCATTGCCCTGCGAAGGACACCGCCAGCCGCCCCCAGCTCCCCTCTCCCCAGCTCTAGTCCACAGAGATAGAGAGGCATTCTTCTACAAGCCACCCCTCCCTGCTCCCTGCATGGAGACCCTGATGGTGGGGAGGGGGGATCCCCTCAGGAAACGTGGGCACCCAAGGAAACCTGGCCTGGCAACTGGGGGACCTGGGAAGGGGAGTCAGGCTGTGGGACCACCCCCACCCCACCCCACCTCTGGTTTAAGAAGCAGGGCCTCAGGTCCAGACTGCCCCCAGGTCCCAGGGAGCACTAGCAGCCTGAGATGGAGTAGAGGCGGTGGGCAGTGGCGGGAACCGCCCCCAGTTCCGGGGCTCAGCGGGGGATGTCTTGCTCTTCTACCTCCTCAGCACCACCACCTTCCCTCCCAACTCAAGGGGGGTCCTCTTAAAGGGTGCTACCTTAGAGGCAACGTCCACCCTCCTCTCGCTGTGTGAGGGCCCCTGCCAGACACCTCCTCAGGCGCACCCGCACACCCACTCAGAAGGGCCATTGTTCTTCAGGCTGGGAAAGAACCACCCAGCCCTCTGGCCTCTGGGCACAACCGGAAATGTGTCTGGGAGCCATCTCTGAGAACAAACAGCAGGCCCACTGAGACTGCCAGTGGCCAGAGGGCGCTGGCCCCAGCCTGGGACTGACAGCACCAAGGGGTCGGGGAACAGGCCTCAGACACAGGGCCCTCCACTGGTCCCCAGCCTTTGCTGTGGGTGGCCTGATAGGGGTATGGGGGGCACACACTTCCATTTCAAAGAGGCAGCTGGGCATGTGGGCCCCTCTGCCCTAGCTGGGTGGGTAGGCAATGCTGGACGCTGCCCGACCACCGTTCCCCCGCCCTGCTCTACGCGGCCCCCACCTCCCGGGGCGTCCGATTGCGCTCTGCCTGCGCCCGGCTCATCGCCTTCTTGCCCAGCTCCAGGCCCGCCCAGCCCTTACCCTTGGCCTGTTTGCCCCTCCGGGAGGTGCACCACACACGCTCACAGTACTCATCCACCCGGGGCAGGTTGGCCAAGCCGATGAGCTGCAGGATGTCCTTATACCAGGCCTTGGGAGGGGTGGCGACCAGGCCCCCCTGGGCTGGGGGCTCCTCCAGCCGCAGCTCCCGGGGCATCAGGCTTTTGAGCTGCCGGGCTGCGATCACCCCCAGAGCCAGGGAGACCACCGTCTGGGAGAAGCCGTGCTCTAGCGTCCTGCACGTGTAGGTCCCCGCGTCCCCGCGGCTGAGCCTGCGGAACAGCAGCCCCTGCTCTGTCTGCAGGACTCGCTCGTCAGTCTTCACCTGCTGGGGGTGCGGGGGGTGTGAGGGGGTGTGGAGCGGGGCACCCACTACCAGCTTCTCTGCCCCCTGCTTTTCCAGATTAGTCACTCTCCCCGTCCCAGGAGGGGCCCTGTGAGCTAGAGCGGGCAGGGCGCCCCCTTCCCATAGCCCAGGGCAGCGCGTGCTAAGGAAGCTGCCGGAGAGTTGACTGACTACTTTGGGTAGTAGGCTCTGAGCCACCTACCTTGGCCTTGGAGGGGCCCTGGCACACATTCCCAGGAAATGGAGGGGGTGAAGGGACATCTATGGGCTTTTTCTTGAGCAGCTGTACCCCCCGCTCCAGGGCTAGAACTCCCCCCCAGTCTCCACACATACACATGCACGCATGCACGCACACCTTCCTTGTCTTACTCCTGGTCTGCATTGTCCCCCCCCCACCCCTCGACAGTGCAGAGCCCACAGCCCCAGCCAGGGGTGGGCTGAGTGCCCATCACAGGAGAGGAGGGTGTCTCCAGGCGGGACCCTGTCTGGGCCCCGGTCTGCACATCTGCACCCGAGGCTGGGCTCCATCTCGTTGCCTCCCTGCTGCTGGCCCTGGGGAGTCTCCTTAGTGCCCCGTCCAACAGCTGGCCCCAGACTGGCCTCCCCCAGTCCCGGGCTGGAAGGAGAGCCCCTGCCATAATCAACCACTCCCTCCCCTGCCCTCCCCTGCCCTGCACCGAGCAGCTGGAGATTGGTTCCTCACCCCTCCGCACCCACGGCTGCCCCAAGCCCCAGCCTGAAGCCATCTCTGGGGCTGACAGACCTTTCCGGATGGGGGAGGGGAGGGCCAGGACAGACAGCCGGGCTCCAGGGAGAGAGTGGGGCCAGGCAGTGTGTGGGTGGGAGTGTACAAGGGCCATCGATCAAGGGTCCAGGTCTGGGGCAGAAGAGGACCAAGAACTCCTGGGGCAAGAGACTCCTTCAAAGATGAACCCTATGTAAGCACGAGGGGCTTCCTGGCCCACCCAGACCCCCTTCCCTCTCTTCCCTCTCTGCTGCCCACCTCTCAGAGCCCAGCCCATGCCTGGGAGTTGGTGGGCTCCCTGCCATTGGATGACTTCCAGCCACATGTGGCCTGGGGGTTCCCAGATGGCAAGAAAAGGGTACCTCCTTCTAGGGACCCAGGGGCCTAATACACACTTTTCTGCAGTTGTTCTTGGCACGATCCCTCTGGAGTCCCTTCCTAGGGCTCAGGACTTGGGGATCAGGGAGGAGGGTGACCTCAGGAAACACGCAGGCAGGAGACAGGATCCTTGCTCACCTGGTCGGGCCCCTCGTCTCCGGGCCTCTGCAGGAACCAGCGCACAGCAGCCTGGGGAGACTTGGGCAGGCACTCCAGGAACGTACTGTTGTGCTCCGTGCCGTAGACAGTGCGGGTCTCAGTCGGTCCTGCGGCTTCCTCTGCAGGTGAGGGAGGTGGCCTCAGCTCAGGGACCAGCAGCCCCCAGGGCCGCCAACTCAGTGACCTAGGGGCCTATGTATGGGCCAGTCTGAAGCCACTTACTCTGTCCAGAGAGCCCACACGCACACACGGACGGGAGCTGCACACTAGGGTAACGGAGGGCTGCAGGCCTGCTCACTCACCTTCCGGGCTATGGCCCAGGCACTGCAGGGTGGGGTTGCCGTGCCGGATGTCCTGCCGGCGGAACCTGCGCTTGCTGGTGCCAGGCCTGTAGCGGGTGCAGGAGGCACCGTCCCAGGCGCAGTACGGGTCCCGGGCCAGGCAGCACTCTGCACAGGCACTGCCGTAGGTTTCACACTGGTGCAGCCGCACCCGGGCCACGCCCAGCCTTGAGCCCACGTACAGCGTTTCCTGGGAAGGACAAAACAGAGCCAGGTGAGCGGGGCTCCACCTAGAACCGGCTAGGCCCTCAGTTCCCTCGGGTTTGCTGAGACCCCTGCTGTTTGCAAGTAGTCTTCCAGGACCCGTGGGGTGCCTTCCAGTAGCGACATTTATCTCCTGCTTGATCTACACCAGACCCTGTGCTAAGACCTGGAAGGGATGGTACAGACCATGGGTTTTCTCTAAGGCACTTCTCCAGGCCCTCCCTGCAGCTGACCTTTGCCCTCTAGCCCCATGGCCTTTATGCTGACTTGCCTCTGACCTTAGTGTACTCTCCTTTCAGCAATCCCAGTACAAATGTCAGGATTTACCCAAAGGTAAACTGGGGTGGAAAACTTGGGGAGATTCTGCTACTTGCAAAGGGACAAACAGCCAGCCTCTAAAAAGTAGCTCCCTATTTGACGTATAATCTGAGTTTTGTTTTCAAGCATGTTCTTGTCTCCCCTGAGGAGCCAGCCTTTGCAGGTCTCCCTTCATCTGAACACAGCCTCGCCTGCTCAGGGCCTCCCTGGAATGTGGGTTTCCTGCTAGGGAACCTCAGCTCCCCTCACTGCAGGGCCTGAGCAGGCGGCCCAGCTGGTGCAAGGGGGTGAGGGGTGCGGAGGGGGGAGTGCTGGAGGGGGTGCTGCTCCTACCCTTTTGACGGAGATCTCCATCTCAGTGACTGGTGTCGGCACCTGGGGAAGGAGCAGGGTGTCAGCCAGGGTGGGCTGGGAGAGGCCTCCCCTGCACCCCTGCTTTTTGCCTCCTCCTCTAGCCCCTGACTGGAGCCACCTGTCTCCCAGCCTGGGCCCGTGCATTCCCTGACCACTGAGGCCAGCCAGTTTCTCCCAGACACTGGGGCACCAGAAAAGTCCCCTCACCTTGGCTGGCCTCCAAGCAGGAGGCTTGGCTGAAGGCACAGAGCACCGGTGTCCCTTCCCTCAGCCCTGTCCCAGCAATGAGACAGCTGTCCCGGATCGCTCATCCCACGTCAGGAGGCACGACAGCCCCCCACCCTCAGATGATCCCCTGCTTGTCTCTGTAGAGGGACCAGCTCAGGGACTTGGGGTCTCAGCCGCCCCCTCACTGCGCCTTGAGCCCAAAGGGCCTTTCAGGGGATGATGGCCCCGGACCCCCAGCCCTGGCTCCCCAGCTTTCAGCTCACAGCCTGTCTCCAGGCCCCACAGTCATTCGAAGCCTCAGGAAGGCCTTTGCGGCATGAGGGCAGCAGCTACTGGCCTGCCTGCCAGCTCAGCGAAGGCAGGCCATCTCTCCCCCTGACCTTCCCCAGAGCCAGGCCTAGACCCAGGGGACCCTCCCATCAGTCACCCCTCACCTTAAACACCTGGAGCTCCTCCAGGACCACCTCCTCGGGCTCGGTGGAGCCGTCCACCTGGAGGGCAATGACCTTGAGCACGGAGCCTGAGTCTGAGGCAGGACAGGAGGGGTCAGGCGGAGGGCCAGGCCTCCACTCACCTCCCCTCCTGGCCACCCCACTCTGCCCACCCACCAGTCCCCAGGAAGATGACATCGTAGGTTCCATCCTCGGCCTCCACGCGGTCCACCACTATCTGGCGCAGCTGCTGGGCCAGCTGGGTTTTGACGAGGACAGGGCGGCCCTGCCGTGGCCGCACAGGCTGGAACATGAGTGGGTGGGCTCGGGCGAACTGCAGCACCTCGTCCGGGTAGTGCTTGGTGTTGCCGAAGGGCCGCCCCGGCTGCGCAGTCATCTTGCTAGGGCACTGTGGGCAGCAGCAGTGGGTGTGCTGAAGCATCTTGGGGCCGCACGCTTCCCTCAGGCCCATCATCAGGCCCACCACCAGGCGCTGGCCAGACGCACCAACCTCTGAGGGATGACTCGCTGTGGGAGAGGCCCCTTAATGTGGTTCAGGACTCTGCTCCCTGCCTCACCCTACCCTGTCCCTGGGAAGCCTGGGCTCAGCCATGGCTGTGGGGCTGCGTGCAGACAAAAGCCTGTGCCAGGCACTGTTCCTCCTGCCACCTGCTCAGCCCTCTTGCCTGCCTTGGCTCCGGGCAGATACTCACCATGCCGGGGCGTGGGAAGGGCACCTTGCCCCCATAGGGCCCCCACTGGTGCTGAGGACCATCTTGGTGGGCAAAGGGCCCCTTGAAGACCTCCCAGATATCTGCCATGTGGTACACACAGACGGCAAATCCCTGGAACACGGCACTGCCAGGGGCAGACAGGGACAGTCAGGCTGGGGTGACCATCGGGTGGGAAGGAGGCAGCCTGACTCCATGGGCAAGATCGAGGGGAGGGTGCCTATAGTCGATAGAGACCCCAAACCAACACCAGGCAAAGAGAGGGAGGCAGAGAACACAGCCACTGAGCCTCCGAGTCAGGGACAGGCAGGGGCCCATGGTGAGGCTGGGACATGGAGCAGAGGCTCAACAAAGGGGGCTGGAGGTGCAAGCCTGGCCCCGGTCGGGGGCTGAGAGGGGCCTGCGTGCCCACCTGACGGTGCTGAACAGAGCGTACAGCTCGACGCTCTTCACCGCGTTGGTCTGCAGCAGGAACACGTCCTCTGGGAGACAGAAGGCCATCACCAGCGCCCTGCCGCCAGGCTCTGAGCCCTCTGCACCCCGCACCCAGGCCTGCCCCAGCTGAGCCCTTACCCAGCTGATCGAAGTGGGTCTCGGCACCATCGGGGCCGGGCACCGAGCAGACCAGCCGGGCCTTGAGAAAGGTGCTCCATTTGTTCACCAGCACCCTCTGGCCACCGGCATCGTTCTGGGGCAGGTGGGGATAGAGTTGGCTTTGGGCTCCAGACACAGGCCCCTCCTGCCCCGCCATCCCCATCCTCGGGAGGAGAGGCATGGATGCGGGTGGCACACCCCGCCTCAGTTTCCCTACTGCCGTGGGCGGGGACACGTCTGAGTGAGGAGTTGAGCTTCACCACCCCTTCACAGCTCTCACCACGCAGACACGACCCACGCGGCTAATGGTGACACGGCCTGGGCTGCCGTCAGGCGAGGGGACAGTCTCCGAGAAGAAGAAGTACACCTTGTCATCATCTTGGTCAGAGCTGTCCGCGATCCGGGCGGCCTTCACAAACTGGGGGTCTGGGAGGTGACAAGGTGAAGCCGGAGGGCTCACAGGGGAGGAGAGAGATGGGGAAGAGGTGCAGGGACCCCCTCCAGGGACCCCCCTGGAGGCTGGACACATGGATGGAGTGGGGATAGGCTGGAAGAGCCCTCCCCAGCATCAGCTCCCCGCCTCCCCACCAGCCCTGCCCTCAGCAGCCCCTGGGCTCACCATGCAGGAGGTTCTGGTCAGAGTTGGAACGCAAGGCTGGCCGGGGACCCCCACTCCGGAAGATCATGGCCTCATGCCCCAGGAAGTCAGCAGTGAGGCCAGTATACAGCTCCCCGCCTGGGGACAGGGCAGGGGCAGAGTCAGGCCAGAGCCCCACAGCCGGGCCTCCTCCCTTCCCAGTGGCACTGGCCAGCTCCCACTCCCCATGCCCACCCGGCCTGGGCATTACCCACCTACAAAGGCACTGGCAAATGGACGGCTGGGCTCATGCGGACACCGTCCCCGCCCGCCTTCCACGCTGCCGGGCTCCAGGAGGAGCACATGCTGGGGAGGGGGCGGGAGGAGGGGGGTGTTACCTGGGGAAGCAACCCCAGCCCCCCAGCTGGGCAGGGGCCAGCCATCACGTGCAGCCGCAGAGTCAGGGTGGGAGGACGGAGCCCTTACTCAGGGCCTCTCCAGTGAGGTCAGAGCCGGGCACAAAGGCGCCTTTCAGGCCCCCGCCCCGGGCTCGGGCTCGGGGAGGAAATGCCACTGCTTCCCACCCCTCGTGGGGTCCCCCAAGGCTCACCTCCCCACGGTGCCCAACTGCGATGAGGGCACAGATGGGCTGGAAGGCCCCGGTGCCACATGCCAGCAGGTGGGTCCGGTTGTGGGGCTGCAGCACCCGCACGAAGTTGGCACACTCCGTCTATGGGGGGAGGAGGAGTGCAGGGGAGGAAGGACATCACCTTCCCTGCCTGGCCAACCAGCTCCGGGGATGAGGGGTCGCAGGGGGGCGGGGACCTTCCTTTAAGACCTCAGGTTCAGCTCCGCAGGCCCCTAGTGCAGGCACATGGCAGAGCCGCCAGGCTGAGGCTGTAGCTGCTCAGGGCTGGTTGGTGGTCACCGCTGATGGCACTCACCGAAGGGTCCCTTCCCTTGCGGACACACTCCTCCCTCTGTCCTGGCAGCGGCGGCCACAGGACCTGAAACACAACATGGCTGACCCCTGACCTCACAGCCTCAGTTTTCGCATCTGGAGTTGCCCAGCTCTCAAACAGACCCTCCCCTGCATCAGCCCAGCGCACCTCCCGGGGATCCGGCCATGCCTGGTCCAGCCTCAGGGAGTAGAGGGCATCGCGGCCCCCCAGGAAAATGCGGTCCCGGTACTCATCCAGGTACAGGGCATGCAGGTCCAGGGAGCCCCGGGGGCCCAGAAAGACAGCAGAGCGGTTGGCAGACAGCAGGTCTAGGAGGCAGCAAGGAGCAGTCAGAGCCTTGCTCAGCCCGCTGGCGCGGCGAGGTGAGAGGGGGAGGGGCCCAGCTGTGTGTTCACCCCCACACACACGTCTGGAAAAGGTTTCCATCCTCAGGGCTGCTGGACCGAAAAGGCTCCTGGGGGTGGGTGGGACAGGGGCCTGGGACCCCCACCCTCCCTCCATTCCTCACTTAACAGGACTTAGGACCACAGTCTGGGCACAGGGATGGCAGAGCCCAGGGAATGGATGGGTCTGAGTAGCACCCTAGGCTGCCTCCGCGGACAGCAGAGAGCGCGCCTGGCAGAGGCCTGTGCGCAGGAGAGGCCGGGGCGGCCAGGCAGAGCTCCAGGCTCTGGTCCAGCGACGCAGCTAAAGAGACCTTTCTCCTTCATAGATGCCATGCACTCAGGCTCCAGGGACAGAAGGTGACTGTCTGGGGATGCTGGTCCCAGGTGTCAAGGATCCTGAAATAGGTCCTCGGTAGGTGGAGGTGATGGCTGGCAGCAGGGCCTGGTGGGAAGAGGGCTGGCCACCCTTGGGAAGGCCGAGTGTCCTCCACTTCCCAGAGTCTCATCATTGGCCCTGCACCCACTCCATCCCCAACACTCATCAAAGGCCTCCTCCAGGAAGCCCTCCATGACTGACAGCAGTGTGGAGAGGATTTGCCCTATTTGGGTTTTTTCTGGTAGTCTGACTTCCCCCACAAAACCACATTCCTAGTGCGAGACCACATTGTCCCCCGTGCCACACAGAGTGGGGCCATGTCTCTCCCCCTCAGACTCTCCTGTCCAAAGCAGGCCTGGGTCTCTTCCCCTGAGACTTCCCAGAGGAAGATGACAGTAATTTCCCCAAGAAGAGTCCATGGAAAGCCTGCCTGAGGGACCTATCCCACAGACCATCCCCACAGCTTCAGAGGAGGCCAGCCACTGCAGCTCAGCCCATCAGGGGAGACCTGGGTGGGCTGGGCAGAGTGGGGGCGGGGATGCCCTGCGCTGTGAGGAGCTTGTGGGATGCAGAGGGCAGAGAGAAGGCCAGCATTGTAAAGCGGGCCACACCAGGAAGCGGGGCACGGCTGTGGGGACAGGTGAGGGCACTTGCAGGATGCACCTGTGTGTGGATGGTCCTCCAGACCCACCCTCTCTGCCCAGCCCATCTCTGCCGTCCCCACCCATCTCTCCTTTTCTCCGCAGCCTCTCACCCTCTGTCTCTTTGATTCTCCCCTCAACCCTGGCTGTGTCCTCCAGGACCTGCCCACCTCTGCCCTCCTCCCTGGCTCCTGCCGCTGGCTGGGGCCAAGCTCATCCTGGGCACAGCCATGAAGTCGTCCCCCCGGGCTGCTGGGGAGGGACTGCATCCCTCCGGCCGGCAGAGCAGACTGCCCGGCTGGCCTTTGCCCCACAGGTATACACAGGACAGGGTGGTCAGTACCTCCGTAGGAGAGCCGCAGGCGGGGCATGCTGGGGCCGGGGCCGGGGCTGCCGGGTTGGAGCAGGAGACCCCCCAGGAGGCAGCAGATGGCCCAGACTGAGGAGGCCATGCCGCGGAGCCCAGGGCACACGCTGCTTATGGAGGCGCCCTCTGTCTGCAGTCACCAGTTGTAGTTTGCTCGGTTGCCGCTGGCCCGCCACTTATAAGGCCGGGCTCCACCCCGCCCAGGGCCAGGAAGGCAGGGAGGAGGAGGGAGGGGGCGAGGGCCCGCCATCCACCTGCGGCCTCTCCCTCCGTGTAGAACTGGCAGGTCCCCCCTTGGGGAGACCCTTTCCCATATGGGGTACGGGTGGCCTACATGCAAACGTCCACAGACCCAGTCCTTAGGTTCCAGCAAAAAGTCAAGGGGGGAGGTAGCCTGGAAGGGAGGTCACAGGTCAGAGATCAGAGGTTGGTGGGCTGGGCAGAGGTCTGGCTGAGCTCTCCTTTGCTTCCTGCCCCTCCAGTGCCCATGGCAGAGACCTCCACACACCGACTCTGGGCCTGGGTCCCTGATACTACGAGGGCCCAGCCCCCTGACGCCCTGGCCTGGCTCCCCAGCTCCCCTGGCAGGGCCCAAGTTGCCTGGGAGGAGTCATTCCAGCTCCAGGAGCTCCATGTTTTGGGCGGAGGCTTGAAGTCTGGCCCCACTTCATAGATCTGGGATTGACAAGCGATGACTGCCCAGCCTCCTCCACCCAGGCCTGTCCCTGTCTGGCCTCCAGGCCCCATCCCAGCCCACTGGGGCAGGGGACAGGATCCACAGTGTCAGGAAACCCCCCTGCCTCCCTCAGCCCTCCAGTCCTACCAGAGGCCCACGTCCCAGAGTGGCACCAGGTGAGCGGGGCGTTCCTCCCAGAGTTCCCCACGGCTGGCAAGCCCCACACATTAGATCCTCCGGAGTGCAGGTGGAGGTGTGGCGTTCCCACCCCACCCCTGGCCTGGTCTAGGGGCAGGAGAGCCACAGGAGAGGCCCAAGGGGGCGATGAAGCTGAGGGGTTCTGTCAGGGCAAGTGAGGTGGTCTCCCCACGGTCCCCGTCTTTGCCTCCGACAGCTGTGTCTCCTCCCACCCCAGACCCCTATCCTCAGAATCAGAGGCCCTGGACACTAAGAAGATTTCAACTTCGAGCCAGAATGGGAGCCCCAGTGTTCCAGAAACTCCTGCATGTTAAGTCTCCAGATGGACCAGCCTGAGCCCTCGGACGGTGATTGTGGCTGGCAGACCTGGGGGACAGCAGAGAGGGGAGGCCCTGGGCCAGCCCACACAGCAGGCTGAAGACAGGTCCCCTCAGCCCTTTCCTGGGGCTCTCTCAGGCTTCTAAGGCTTCTGGGGTGTCCTAGAACCTCACCTCTCTTCATCTCATCCCTGGAAGGGAGGCGGGTCAGCCTCTTGAGTCGGTGCGAGAAGGTCCCAGGGACCAAGAACACTGCCACCCTGTCCCCATCCCCCTAGCACATACATGCCTCCTCGCAGGGTGGGCCTGACCTGGCATCGGGCAAAGGGCTACATGGGGAGGCAGGCACTGGCCGGCCCACTCTGCCTGCGGGCTCTGCAGGCTCTCCTAGAGAACCCCGGCCCCTCCCTCTCTGGGTCTTAGGCTCCTCCTCCCAGGGCCAGGGCCCCGCCTCCTTGGGTGTAACAGGCACTAGGAACTGGCTAGGGGTGCTTGTACAGGGGCCACCCCCATGGCATCCTGGCCTGAGCCCTCGGAGGGTGGGGACCCTCTGTCTCCATCTCCCTGGGGAGACATTTCAGCTGTGACCCACGCTATGAGCTGATGTTTGGCTGTTGAGCCAGACACCCCCTCAACCGGCATGTGGACCCCAGCTGTGGACAGGAGGCCCTGCCAGCTCCCTCTGGGGGTCTCAGCACAGCCAGGTCCCCAGCTGGGGTGAGGCCTGGGCCTACTGGAGCAGGGTGTGGGGGGCACTCCACACTGCAGGAAAACAGCCTGTGGCCGTGGCTGGGAGCCTGCATTCTGCTCTCAAATTGTGTGGCCTCTCCAGGCCTCAGTTTCCCAGTCTAGGAGGCTCCTTTGTAAAGGCCCTTGCTTGCAGGCTGCAGCTGGGAAACAGATCCCCAGGGCGCCCTTGCAGCTCAGATCAACGTCCAGCTCCTGGCATCTTATGCCATCTAATGGGTGAAGTGGAAACTGCAGGAAGCCGTAAAGTTGGCAGCAAGTCAGGCCCTATGCTAAGCAGTGGGGCCACCCAGCAGAAACCGCAGCCTTTTTGGGGTGGCAGACAGTAACCAGGCAGCCATAACATGAAGAGACAGGGGCAGTGGGAGACACTCCAGTGATTGCTTCTGGTGGAGAAAATCAAGGAAGGCTTCATGGAGGAAGTAGTATTTAGGCAAAGTATGACACTGCCCAGGAGAACGAAGGACAGGCCTGAATGCAGTCAGACAGTCAGAACTAGGTGGTGCACGTAGGGCGGAGCAATGTCCTGGTAGGAGCTGTGAGCCCTCGGCTGAGCACACGTGCAATGTGCCTGTTCGTGGGTCGGTTGCTGCCAGGCGGCTCTGGAAAAGGCCACAGCCCAGGCTCTCCCAGCTGGAATTCTGGAGCTGGCTTGCCTGGAAGGAATGGATGCCTCCAGTCCCTCCCCTGCCACCCTCATTTGGAACAGAGACATGGGGAGAATCCCCCAAGGCTCCCTCCCTGTGGACCAATGAAACCCTCCTGTCCAGCAGCCAAGGCCTCAGGGGCCTCCAAGTCCCTAACCCCAGGGCCACCAGTGTCTTCAAACCTCCTTTCTTCCTGCCTGACTCCCAGGGCCCTTCACTCACCTGGAGTCTCTCCTAGGCCATCAGAGATGCCCAGTGCCTGGTCCCTGACCGTCTCTCTCTATGCACCCTCTCACCACGGCCGCATCCGGGACCAGGGCTGGGAAGGCGGGTCTGACTCTGACAACGCCTGAGTGGGTGGCTGTCCCTCTGCTCTGCCCCAGAGGCATCCCAACTCTGACACAGATAGAGGACTCCTGTCTCTCCTGTGACGGTGCTGCCAGAAGTGGGTAACCCGAATCTAGTCCTCAGGAAACACCAGACAGACCCAAACTGGGTGAAATTCTACAAAATAACTGGCCTGTACTCTTCAAGAATGCCAGGGTCATTAAAGATGAGGAAAGGCTGAGAAACAACCACAGGCCAGAGGAGAGTAAGGGGACCGCATGGCGAAGTGCAGTGACCGTGCGGTCCTGGGTCGGGTCCCAGCCCGGGAAGCGGGCCTTCATAGGGCAACCGGCGGATCTGAGCGCGGCTGGCAGGGGAGTTGAGGTGGTGTGGAAGCGTTATTTCCTGGCTTTGATCATTGACCTGTGGCAATTTAAGTTGGTAACATTTGGGGAAGCAGGTTGAAATGCGAATGGGAGTTCTTTGTATTATTTTTGCAAGTCTGGAAATTCAAAAGTTCTTTGTATTATTTTTGCAAGTCTGGAAATCCAAAAGTTAAAAACATAAAAAAAAAAAATCTAAAAGATAAAAGGAACCTCAGCTTCCTAATACCCAACCACCAAGAGCCCGTGACTCCCCCAGGCTTCCATATCTCAGGAAATGGCAGTTTCATTCCGACTCACATCTCACATTCCATTCTTCAGTGAGTTCTGGATTCTAGTTGCAAACACTCCCTGAATCTGACACCTTCCTCCAACCTTCAGGCCCCACAGTGCTGAGGGCCACCAGGCCTTCTCAGCCTGAGGCTGCTGGCGCTTGGTGTCTGCCCCACACCGCCTTTCTGCTCCTGAGATGCTCCAGTCTTTCCCTGTGCCCTCCCATTGATTTGCTGTGGCTCTTCAGGCTCAGTGCCACCTCCACCAGGAAGCCTTCCCAGACCACTCCACCTCATGGCCACCATGCCTCCACAATCTCCATTCCAGCACCATGCTGGTTTCCTCACTGTACTCATCTCCCTCTTTGTCTTCCTGAGCTGACCATAAATTCCACAAAATTAGGGACCGGGCCTTCCTCTAAAGGGTCCCGACATTAAGCCTGTGCCAGACACGTGGCCAGTGTGGGACTGAACTGTGGAATGGTGTGCTGCCTGGCGGGCCCACTGTGGCCCTGCCCCTCTCCCAAGATGTTGTCATTCCTGGGTGCACATGCAGATCCTTCAGTTTTCCAGCTCCCAGAAGCAGGCCTGAGGGACACCCTCTTCTCCCCCAAGCTCTCTCCAGGGACCAGGCAGCTCTTGCCAGCTCTGGCCTCCCCTGGAGGCATCTCCAGAATTCTAAGACCTTCTTTGGAATGCCGGGCCTGCCTGGGGAGTGCCAAGCCTAGGACACAGGTGGGGAGGCTGTGGAGCAGCTGGGTGGGGCAGGGGCAGCTGCAGACACTCTGGCTGGAGCCCAGACACTGGACAGCTGTCCCTCCCGCCAGCACCTCTGCTAACACCTCCACTTCCTCGCAGCCCCCATCCCAAGGCCAGCATCACTGTTCTCGCTGTAGCTCTGGCCTGGGTGTCCCCATGAAGTTGAGTGCCATACTGGGCCTCGTGCCTCCACTCCCTGCTGGGGAGGGACATTGGGCTGCTGGAGCCTCTGAGGCTGACGGGAACTGGAGATTGTGTCCATCGGGATCAGGCGGCTCCACTGTCCCCCAGATTCACTGGGTGACCTTTACAGAGTCCTGTGCCTCTCTGGGCCCCAGGGTCCTCACCTGTCATGGGTGAGGGGAGTCAGAGTGGATGATAAGCCCCTCGGTCCCAGGGAGTCAGTGTTGCCAAGCAGGTGGGCGGGTGGACCAGAGTGGCAGGTGCGCTGGGCCCCCAGTGCCCTGCTTCTCCCCAGCAGGGCTGAGAAGGGGCTGGGGCTGCTGTTTCCCCGGGCACTGCTGTCCCTGCTCTCTCCAAGTACAGGCCCCTTGGCTGCCAGCTGGCTGACCAAAGGCAGGGCCCCCAGGCCTGCACATGCAGATGCCTGGGCCACCGTGGGGTCCAGGTGCTGAATCCCTGGAGGTGGGGCCTGGGCATCCACTTTAATGGAAAGGAGGCTTGGAGCTAATCTAACCTCTCCTTCAGAGGGCAGTGTGCTGGGGTGGGTAGAGCATGGGCTCTGGGATGGGGAAGGAAATGGTC